GAGCAACTCGGCCTCGACCTCCGGAGGTAAACAGAGCGCCGCTTCCTCTTCTGTGTCGCTGTCGTCAGACTCAGCATCAGTTCCAGTTAGAATTATTCGGGTCTTTCTGAATCCCGACAGGATGGTTTCGGTGTCACTGAAGTCCAGACTTTGTCCATCCATCCAGTGACTTCAGGAAAGTTTCATGGTGCATCCTCCCGGTGTCACAAGTTTCTCTCTCACTCCAAACTTTCTTTCTGCTGCTCGATTATCGTTTTCAGCTGCAGATTTCACGACTTGCAGCAAAATATGATTTTCTTTTTGGGGGCATTTGTGTTCAGTCTTCTCCGTCGTTTAGTTTAAGTTTAAAGTTTGTTTAAATGTTAAATTGTTCAGTGGTGCAGAAATAATGGTGCGATCGACTGACATGATACAGACAGGACAGAGGCTCTTTCTGCAGGAGACATGCGCAGTAGAGCCAAGTGACAGTGGTACAGGAGGAACAGGAGCAGCAGAGACTCACACACAAGACTAGGCCTCTCCACACTTCACTCAAACATTTTAATATATAAGTCACAGGAAACATCTAAACCATGAAAAGAATGTGCCACTTATATTAGTATTCATTATTAATATTAAAAATCAGGAATGATCTCTGTATGATTTGTTGTTTTGTCTGTTTTCTTAGGAACCATTTACGAAGGCACCACAAACGTCCAGCTCTCCACTATGGCCAAGTTCATAGATAAAGAATACGACCACTGAGTTTTCCAAGAGCGACGAAGCACACTCCGTTTAAGACACTAAAGCTGCTGCTGTGAAGAAGAGAGAGGAGAGGGTTAAGAGTAAGAAAAAGATCATATTATGTGATTCACCGAAGCCCTGCTCTGTATTATACTTGTAATGTAGAGAGATTTTTTCCTTTTATCAATGTTACTGAGGGTTTTTAGCACTTTTGTTTTGACGTGGGGCTTTATTTCATCTGATTTAAAGGTGTATTGTGTAATTTTATAAAAGCATTTGATGGACCTTCCACCAGAAAAGTTACACAGTGCAGCTTTAAGCATTTATTTAGATTCTTTTAGCCTCAAATGTAAAAATACAACGCACAAATTTCCACAATATTACAATCTCATAATGCAAATATTATTTTCAGTTTATTAGACCAAATAATCGCAAATTATCAGGGAGAGAAACCAGAACTACCCACTGGTTTTAGTCCTGGTTTAGGCTTGGTTAAGTTCTGTTTTAGTTTAGTCCTGGTTCAGTCTCGGGTTAGACCTGGTTTAGTCCTGGTTTAGTTCTGGTTTACACTTGGTTTACTCCTGCTTTGGACCTGTTTTAGTCCTATTTTAGACCTGGTTTAGTCCTGGTTCAGTCCTGGTTCAGTCCTGGTTTAGTCCTGGTTTAGTCCTGGTTTAGTTCTGGTTTACTCTTGGTTTACTCCTGGTTTACTCCTGCTTTGGACCTGTATTAGTCCTGGTTTAGACCTGGTTCAGTCCTGGATTAGTCCTGGTTTAATCCTGTAGTGTCCCCACTACACCACTGAACTAGACCAGACCAAAACCAGTACTAAACCAGATCTAAAAAGAATCCAAAAAGTCACAACTAGGACTAAACTTGGACTAGATCAGGACTAAACCAGAACTAATAATTTCTCATTAATAATTTCAATTATTATGGAAAGTTTAAGACCTTTTAGCCAGTTTTGACATTTCGGAAACAAAATCAGTTAAGTTTTAGACTTTTTTTTGTCAAAATTTAGCAATAATTTAATCTCATAACACAAATATACACCAATAATAACAATTTCTTTCAGTTTTAAGTTTATTTTTGTCAAATTTCTGTCAAATATTTCAGTGCCTTGATGTTTTTTTCTGTTTTCTTTTCCATGTGCATACTTTTGTCATACATATTTTGTCTTTTTGTTTCGTTCTACTGAGATTGTGTCTGTTTTTGGATGAATTATCTGTAAAACAAATTTAATTAAATGTGTCGTGCATCTTCAAGCTGTTTTGTTTCAGTTCCACGTGCGGACACCAGGTGGCAGCACTGACATGAGGAGCTGCTTAATCTGCCGTCCAAAACTTTTCAGATCGTTTTAATTAATCTGACAATTATCTCATTATTTCACCTCCTCTCTCCGCTAACGACATCTGAGCTATTTTTAATCAGGTTTAAGTATTTAACGAACTGAATAATTATAGTTTCCACATATTAATATCGAATTTTAATAGAATTCTGAACGGAGATAAAAGTGAAGGATTTCTGGGCTTCTTCAGCTACAGTTAAGACATTAATAAAAGTTTCCACAATTAGTTATAATAAGTAATTAAAAACAATACAAGGCGTAAATGTTTAATTTGTCTTATTTATTCTTCTATATTAATACAACGTTTTCAGTTTGAGATTCACAATTAAGCAACATTTAAATAAAGGTGTACTGCCGTCTGCTTGTCCCCATGGAAACGTTATTGCTTTGTCTAGAATGTTCCGCTTTATAAGTTAGACCTCTTTGTCAGGGGCTGGACGAGCAGGTTACAGCACTACGCTACGTTACAGGTCAGATCTGTGGAGAGGCGCTCGTATTCACAGAAGGAATTATTGTATTTTTGAGCAATAGAAAAACACGAAATGAATAAACGCAGAGGTTTAAAGTCATATCATGGAATGTTCCAGGGAAAGCAGTAACATCTCCATGGAGACAAGCAAGTAGCAGATCCTCCATCCACGGTCATGGAAGTCCTGGAAAAGTCAGGGAAATTTGAAAATTTGATGAAAGTTTTGGAAAAGTCATGGAATTTTTTAAATATATCTTAAGTTCTCATTAGGCTGTTATGATTATTTCTGAACATCTGCGCCTTTTGTTTAGCCTGATTCATGAGCCGGTGTCACTTTGTGGAAACCGTCTGACCTCACAGCGTTAAAATTCGTTTGCTTGGTCTTGTGTCACCTCCAAGTGTGTTGGAGGACAGAGCCTCTGGACCATCTGACCATGTGCTGGTTCCAGACGGGGGCGAGCAAAACCAATGCACAGTGGACTGGGTTCGAGCGGTTCTGTGCTGTTGTCTGTGCACTGGTTCCATGTGAGGAAAACGAGAATGTGCTGTGGAAGGCAGTTCCAGGTGGGCTGCTCCTCCACCGGGTTCCGAGGTGGTGCAAAGCATCCGGACAGAAGCGTGAAGCCAGCTTGGTTGGTTATATGTTGTTTTGAGCATCCGTCCTCTGCGCACTCCGGGTTCTTCTTGGGACACTTCCTAACATCACTCCCTGCTCCATCTCCTCTGAGCCCGACCTGAACTGGAGCTGCTCCCGCTGGGTCAGGACTGCTTTGTACCATGTCCGACTGTATTTCTCACACTAGACTAAAAGCGGGACATTTTTAAAGTTGAATCAATTGAATAGGATATTGCCTATTGCCATAACATAATTTGGTTAATTAAGCCTAAAATAACAAATGCTGGTTTCTACATGAACATGGGAAACACCAGGACCTCTCTGTGCGGCATGCACCATGGACTGGTTCTCCAGGTCTCGTCCATGACCGTCTGACTCACCTGCGACGAACTGCATCTACAATTTGACAGAGGTGATTGCAGATCCTTCTCCGTTCACAGTATCTCTGCAGATTCTGTACATTTGTTGGGACATTTGTTTCTGTGTCCTGTATGTGTGTGACATAAACTTGTACTCGACCTGAGCAGATCTGACCAGAGTTTTGTGTCTTGGGCAGTGTAGACGGAAACACTACGGCAGAGTGTATTTAACTTTTCCACTGTGGAGGGTGGTTTCAGATTTTTGCGTTTTTAAGCTCAAAAAACACAGTCATCGTCTAAACGAAAGACACTTCCGCTTCTACACATTAATAAAAGCAGAAAGAATGTACATTTGCTACTACTACTACTACTACTACTACTACTACTACTACTACTACTACTACTACTTTGAGTCACATAATTAACCTGTCCACCTGCCTTGCTCCATTATCCGTCTCTTTTCTGATCCTCTTTGGACCTGTTCCGTGTCTGTGTAGATCTGGTTTTTACACGCGTCTCTTTTCAGTGAAACGTCCTCTTCATCCTTCAGTCTTTTCTTCTCTTTGTCGCCGCTCGGATCATGAGCCGCGAGACTTTCAAGAGCCTCTTCACAGAATAATGACAAACTGGAAATGGAGAAGACTAAAAAGGAGCACTCGAGTCAGCAGCAGGTGGAAATAATCCAGTCTATTACGTTAGTCCAGATCACATTATGGTTGAGACTTTAATTACAAAAGATGCATCATGATGTTGTGTCTATTTTACGCACTACAGGTGACGCTTTTTTGTGAATTACACGAGGCTAATTGCTTTAATTGGATAAAGTCGGGATGATTTGAACCTTTATTTGGTTAAATTGCTCACCGTTATAGATGGTTTGATTGTTGTTTTTTTCAGTCAAAACTGTAGACTTTTGTGTGTTTTATGAAAATAGGCGTAATAATTGACTCATGTACATAGGTTATACATTGCCATATGCACTGAAAAAACAATATCTTAACAACATTAAGAGCATTTTACTTTGCTTGAGGAGATTCAACTTAAGTAAAATGATCTAGCAATGGAATAAGTGTGTTTTTCTTCATTCAACATTTTTGTTTCTTATTTTAAGTGCTAAAAGTTGTTGTTTTTCTTATTTTAAGTTTAGCGGGATGCAAATCTTGTTCCACTGGCAGATATTTTTACTTGTCAAGTGAAATTTACTCAAATCTTGATCAAACTTTCTTAATTCAAGTCAACTTAACTTGATTAGATTTTGTTTTTTTGCAGTGTATAAAAAGGTTTACATCACCTTGTGTTAATTATTGTTAATAAATATTGTCAATAAAAGTGTATTTTCTTTAAGAATTTTTGTTTTTCTTAATATACACTGAAAAAAACAACATTTAGCTACATTAAAATGACTTAAATTAAGAACATTTTATTTAAGTAGATTCAACTTGACTTAAAATTTAAGTAAAATTATCTAATGGAATAAGTGTGTTTTTCGTAATTCAAGCTACATTTTAGTTTCTCATTTTTGTTTTCTTATTTTGAGTGTAGCAAGATGTATTTTCATCTTGAAACAAGACAACAAAAAGTCTTGTTCCACTGGCAGATAGTTTTACTTGTCAAGTTAAATTGACTCAAATCGTGAAAAAACTTTCTTAATTCAAGTCATCTTAACTTGGCTAAATTTTATTTTTTGCAGTGATACATTGCCTTGTGTTAATTATTGTCAACAAATCTTATCAATAAAAGTGTATTTTCTTTAAGACTTTTTGTTTTTCTTAATATAGTTAATCAAAAATATAGAATTACGACAGGGTGTATTTTAAAAGTGTAAAATATTAATAGAAAAGCTTTGAAAACAGAAAAGCGTCCAAAATATATTATGTTAAAACATAGCGTCTCTAGCGTGTCCAACATCTCTTAGCCTTCACTCGTTTTAAAACAGATCAAAATGGCTCCGTTAAATCACTCCGTAAATCCGCACCGAGGCCTCGTTTGATTCGCTCTTCGTTCTTTATTCTCGTGCGTAAAAGCGCGCGGCGCGGTCGGTCACATCCTTTCTCTTTTCTCTCCGTGCGCAATGGCGATAACCATCTCCCTCCATTTATCCAGTTCCAGTGACAGCTGATCGTGCGCGCCCCTTAAACGCGTCCTCTTGGTTCTAATTGGTTGATGAGTGACTCGGCCTTCTCCTCCGTGCGCGCTCGTCCATCCGTCTCTCCGCGTCTCTCCAAATCTCTCCAGTGTGATCCGCTGTTGCTGTTGCTGTTGCACCTGCCCACAGCCTCTCCAACGCGCGCTTTAACCAGGAACACGCACGGACACTTCACCATAACCGAGCCAGCGCGCGGCGGGACCAGAGCTCTCCAAAGACCTCTGTGCGCGCTTGGCACTTTTACGCACGGTTAAGTTACGATGTGTTTTACGAGATTTGGGACTTTATTTGCATCTCCAAACTTTTGACAGATATTTTTGCCAACTGAACTTGCAAGTTACATTCAACAAGGAACCAGGAAATACGAAGCGCTATTTAAGATTTTTTTTTTTTTTTAAGTATTTGACAGACCATTTTACGCACGCTTTAATGCTGTTTCAAACACACTTTTGATCGATTTTGAACCTTGTGCGCTGTTACGCACCGTTCCTTTTACAAACCGTGTGACCAATTTGAGTGTTTCTTTATTATTTTTGAATGAACTCTTTTTAAAACCAAGGAATATTGACATTTTAGCTCCATTCAAGCAAAATCGAGGTCACAACGACGTAATTTTGCACAAAGCTGAAGCAAAGCAAACTTTTACGCATTGCCTTAATTAACTTCGGACTGCACTTTTCGCTTCTCGCGCCGGTTGTTGATGCTCTTCCCCGGCGATGGCAGGCTCTGACCCGCAGGAGACTCGCCAGACCTCCGCTAAAGACTCGCCCTTCTCCATCAAAAACCTGCTGAATATCGAGGACAAGCCGGCGGTGAAGCAGAGGACTTTCCCCGGGCTGGAGGGAGGCTTCTTCTCGCGGTTCGGTGTCGGAGAACTGGCCCCCTTTCCGCGCTTGGAGCTGCCCGGGCACAGGCTCTCGCTCCCGGGGCAGTATCTGGACAGAGCTCCGGCCTGGTGGTATCCTTACGCTCTGAACCAGCACTTCAGGAACACGGGTGAGGAAAATAAAACAGTAAAACAACATATAACCACAAATTATACAACGTGCGCTTTTGTTTAGGCCTCAAATGTGGATTACGATTTCACAACACGATTTATCTTTTATATCTTTCATTAAATAGACTTAAATCGTTTCGCAAACTCACTTTTTTGTATTTAGAAATGTATTTATAATTGAAAGAAATTATAAAATGTGAAACCTGTTTTTGTTGTTGTTTTTAGTTTTGTTTTTTTTTTTTTTTTTTTTTTTTGAACGATTCCAAACACAAAGCCAATTTCACACTAACTGAAGTGTTTTTTTAGGCTGAAAGAAAACTATAATTCACCCATAATCATAATTTAAAAGTATAGAGGATAAAAATAATTACGAATAACCAAACATACTTTAAAAAATCTAAAACATAAGCTTCAGTTTGGGCATAGCAGTTTTTCGGATGAGTTCAAGTTCAAGTCCGAGTCTCTCTAATTATCTTCCATGAATAATTTAAACAACGAGACATGTTTAAAATAATTAATGAAGCCTATAATGGTTCTAATATAATATTTAATCACCGGACAGCCCTAAAACCACACAGTATTATGCTTTTAATTCCAAGACCTTAACTGGATTGAAATTCTGAGTTTGAAAACGTAAAAAATCTAGTCAGGCCTTAATGTTTCTTTATCCTTATACGTGGAAAATGGGATATTTATGATTTTGTGGTTCTACTAATGAAAAAATTAATGACATTTCTCTTATATCGAGCTCATTCTAGTAATTTGATGTAATTTGAGATGTTAATGAACCCATTGAGAGAACAGAGTCACTCACACTCACATCATTATTCCTCATTATTACAAGAGAGGGAGATTAGAGGTGAGGTTTTTTTCGTTTGTTCCACAACATATTCAATAATGTGACCAAACGTTTGAGCAAACTGTAATTTTTTCGGTATTGTTATGAAGGTTAAGGTTACTCTTTATTGAAATGTGTCTTCTGCGTTTGAGCCGTCCTTCAGTGTGTCTGGGTTAAACCTGTCAGGAGGCAAGGCAAGTTTATTTGTAGAGCACAATTCGTACACAAAGTAATTCAAAGTGCTTTACAGAATAAGAAAAAAGCACAATACAAACAAATCAAAACATAAATAATAATAAAATTAAAGATTAAAATTAAAAAAGAGAGAGAGATAAATTAGAGAGAAGAGTTTAGTTTAGTTTAGTTTAGTTATTTAATGAGACAGGGACAGTGCACAATCTACATTAACCTTAACAGGAGAGATGTTTTGTACCAGGTTATAGAGCCAGTGTTAATTTCCACCTGTTGTCCCAGTGCAGGTTGATGTTATAGTTCATAAAATCAAACATATAAAGAAAAATGTCTTTATAATGTCCGGATCATCATAACAATTCTGTATCATCATTCACACCCTCCTTGTTCTCTGAGCATCTTAAAAACATCGTCCTTATCAAAAGCATCATTCAGTTCATTCAGTCCAGAGCGTCACTCTCTCTTCACTCATCAGACACTCATCAGTCCAAACTACGAGCGCAGGTTTGGTTTGAGAGAAGCTGCTGTTTCACCAGGAGTGAAAATGTGCCGTAGTTTGCTCATGTGATCAGCTCAGTTGGCAGTGTTGGGAAGTAACAGATTACATGTACCGGGATTATCTAATCAGAGTACAAATTATGAGTAACTGTATTCAGTTACAGTTACTGTTTTCATGAGAGATAATTGGATTACAGTTACTATGTTGAAATAAATGGCTTACACCATGGGATTTTCCTGATTTCACATTTTTTTAAATTATTATTTCAGTAATTCCACTCATTGCCGGAAAGCCAAACAAAAGTAAGTAAGTAAGTCTTTATTTATATAGCACTTTTCACAGACATTTTTGTCACAAAGACGCTTTACAGAGCATTATTCACTCACTCTATACCTGGTGATGGTAAGATACTGTTGTAGCCACAGCTGCCCTGAGGCAGACTGACAGAAGCGCGGCTGCCATGCCAATTGGTGCCATCGGTCCCTCCGATCACCACCATCACTCACACACCCACCACTTTCATACTAGGCAATGTGGGTGAAGTGTCTTGCCTAAGGACACAACGACAGTTATTCCCACTGGCACCTCACTGTGGCTCCTGATTTTCCCAGTTTCTCCCATCCAAGTCCTAACCAGGCCCGGCCTTGCTGAGCTTCTGAGATCTGATGGGATCAGGCTTTTACAAGCCGGTATGGCCACAACACACGCAGTAAGAGCTGTGTAAACGTCTTGTTAACATTGGTGGCGTCAGTCACACAATGAACGAGGTCGAGGAGCCAGTAGAACAGAGCCAGCAGTGCACAGGTAAAAACACATTTGTGTCTTCAAAATTAAGACATCACTTTGTATTTAAAGAAGTGCGCCTCTAAACCAGGACTAAACCAGGACCAAACCAGGACTAAATTAGAACTAAACTAGAACTAAACTAGAACTAAAACCAGGTCTAAACCAGGTTTAAACTAGGTCTAAACAATATGACACCTAAGAGTAGGTGGACATAATTTAAGGTGATCTCATATAAAAATCATTTGTCTATCAATATTATTTTTAATATGCTTAAGGAAAGTCTGGACTTTTTATTTTCTTTCAGCAGACAAAACATCTTATGTTAACATATCCTAGTCTTTACTTCTCAGCAAACAAAAGTCTGTTCATGGAGACTTGGGCTCAACAGACAATTTGAAGAGAACAAACAAGAATTTTCAGGATGTGGTTACTTCATTCCTGTAGTTTTAAAAACCATGACAATATCAAGTAATCCAAAGTATTCAGACTACATTACTCACTTTAAGTAACTTAATGGATTACAAACTACATTTTGGGGTATGTAATCTGTAATCTGTAGGGGAATACATTTTAAAAGTCACCTTCCCAAGAGATGCTAGTTGGTAACATGTTCCATTGACGGACGCTGAGCATGAAAAGACTGAGATTCCAAATGCCGTCCTGCGTTTGTAGATCCTGGACGAGCGGCTCTGGAGGTGGTTTCAGAGCTCAGAGAAACAAACTGTTTTAGAGGAGGAGCAGCAATAGTATCATGAATATTAAACAGAAGACAAACATTTGTGTACATTATCAGATTTTCAAAACTTAAAATACTATGTTTCACAAGAATATGACAGAATATGATGGAAGAGACATCTTTTCTTGTCATGGGTCTTGAGAGGCTTTTATATAACGATTCTAGAGGCCTCAAAGCTGATTTACAAGCCTGTGATCAACTTGTTATGCAGTAAAGAAAGTGTGGCATTATCATTGCATTTAGAGGCACCTGACGCTTCAGTGGTGAGGGAGTTTCTAATATATCTGAAATTGTCCATGTTAAATTTTATGGTCATATGCACAGCTAAGCAGAACCGTTTTGAGCCTGGACTTAAACAGCGTCAAAGTCGAGGCCTGTCTCACATGTTCAGACTGTTCCAGGTTTTAGCTGCGTGAATCTGAAACTCTGACTCCCCCGTGTTTAGTCCAGACTCTGGGCACCAGCAGGAGGCCGGGTCTAAACCAGGACTAAACCAGGACTAAACCAGGACTACAGGAGGAGGTCAATCCCTGAACTCCTCACAGTGCAGATGGTTCAAAAGACACTAACATCACAAAGACACAAACTCTGGAACGCTCTGACCCCCCATGTTTGAACAGCCCCCACAGTGGAGAGTTTTAAGTCTCGTCTTAAACCCCACTTTTAATCTCTGGCTTTTAACACCGTGTGAGTTGTGTGGTCCTCTGTGTCTTTTATCATTTTATTTATTACCTGGTCCCTGAAGGGTTGATCAGGTTTTGTATTCACCCTGTGTGTCTGTGTGTCTGTCCACCCGAGATAATTCTGCCATTTATGGACCCATTGTCACCAAATTTGGTACATGGGTCAAGGCTTCCGTGTCCGATGCCGCAAAAAAAAAAAAAAAAAAAAAAAAAAGTTTGGTGACGATCCGAGGTCATTTGAGGTCACATGGGTCAACTGAAAGGTCACACCATTATAAAGGATAAAGGCAATTTTGGCCATTTCTGAACCATTTGCGGGCTAAAATATTTAACCAATCATCACACAAGTTGGCACACACATAACTGGGGCACACTGGACATTACAGGTTGAAACTGGTCAAGGTCACTTGAAGGTCAAGGTAACCAAGTTCAAATAAGCGTTTTTGGTCATAACCCTGCGAAGGATCGAGCTCGAGCAACGAGAGTGTCTCAAAATCTCAAAAAAAGACATTCTCATGTGTGACCAATATCACACAAATATTCATGGGCACTGTACAGCTAGACACATTGCATTATGGAAATATAACGATCATGTAATAGAAGAGGACTGAGCTCCTCGCCTTATCTCTAAGGGAGCACCCAGCCACCGTTTGTATCCACGATCTTGTCCTTTTCGGTCATTACCCAGAGCTCATGACCATAGGTTAGCAGCAATTGGTTAAATAAAAAAAGTACCCACCTACCGTCAAGCCAACAAATGCTAATACTACTACTTCTCATTACTCATCCCTAAGCGTGGAGGGGGCGCTCCACAGCGTGCGACCCGGCAGTCTCTGATCTCACGGCCAAGCTCTACCCGCCTTCACTGAATGGTGTGATAACAATTACCTGGATCTAAATGTAGCTAAAACCAAAGAAATGGTTGTGGACTTCTGGAAAAAAGTCCACAGCCCAGTAGCCAGCTCCATCCATGGGGAAGCAGTAGAAATGGTCGACTCTTAAAAGTACTTGGGAACTGTGTTTGATTCCTCTCTAAGGTTTGATAAGAACACTGAGCAAATCATCAAACGAGGACAGCAGCGGGTTCACTTGATGTGGAAGCTCAGCTCTTTTAATGTATCATGTAACATTTTAAATAATTTTTAGCATTCTTTTATCGAAAGTTTGCTGGTTTTATGGATTATTTGTGAAGGACAAGAACAGTCTGAACCAGAGAGTAAAAGTGTGCAGCAAAATCAGACTAACCATTACGCTAAATCTTTTATTCCTTCAGCTGTAAGGCTTTTAAATGGAAAGTGAATTTGCTACTGTGTCCTTGATGCACTGTGGTTTGAATGTTTGGTGTCTGTCTTTCTTTTTCTTTTATTATTTATAGATTGTGCATGACCAGAGATGTGTGAACTGAATTGCCCTTTGGGATTAATAAAGTTGTTGATTGATTGATTGATTGATTGACTGTGAGGTCAGACGGTTTCCATGAAGTTTTTCTTTCACTTTCATATTATTGATGACATATTCTTTTTCCTTTTTAGGTTCAGAGAAAAACACTGGACCCAGTTTCTCCCCTGTGTCCGACCAGCGCTCCCCAGACTCCCCCAAACTCCCGCAGGACCCCAACGACGACGATGACATCACTCTGGAAGACAGCGAATCAGACGAGCCCAAGAAAGACCAAGACCAGGACCAAGACCAGGACTTAAACCAGGACTTAAACCAGCAGGACTTGGACTCTGACTCCTGGAGGCCGACGAAAACCCCCGAATCAGGGCTAGACTCGGAACAAAAGATGCAATGCCGGAAGAAGAAAACCAGAACGGTCTTTTCGCGAAGTCAGGTTTTCCAGCTGGAGTCGACGTTTGACATAAAAAGATACTTGAGTAGTTCGGAACGCGCCGGTTTGGCCGCGTCGCTGCATTTGACCGAAACGCAAGTCAAGATCTGGTTTCAAAATCGCCGAAACAAGTGGAAGAGACAGCTGGCGGCCGAGTTGGAAGCCGCTAATTTGAGCCACGCTGCCGCCCAGAGGATCGTGAGGGTGCCCATTCTGTACCACGAGAGCAGCGAGCAGGAGAACGCCACCGCCAGGTCAAACGGGGGAACTGCAGGCGGGCAGGGTCTACTGGGATTCCCGCCTCACATGTACTATTCACACGTACCACTGCTTAGACCGGTTTAAAACGAACAAAATGAAAAAAAATGTGTAGTTAAAAAGTGCTTTGTGTGACTTTTCTGGTGGAGGGTCCGTCTAACGTTTTAATGCTTTTCTCCATGGAAATGTTATTGTTTTCTTGTCTGGAATGTTTCACAGTATGACGTTAAACCTTTTTATCATCATCGTGACCAAACCAGACCAAGTTACAGGTCAGATCTGTGGAGAGGCGACTCCGTTCACAGTCAAAATGTATGTTTTTCTAGGTATTTTTGTGCTGTAACTCCATCTGAATTTTAATAAATATAATGTAGAACTGTTTAAATCGACAATCTGGAATTTTGGACATAGGACCACATTTCCTCGTGGTCCAGAGTGTTGGAGACATGTGGAGACATTTTTATAAATATTCCATCCAGTCCTTGTATTTGCAGAGGTCGCTGGTGCTAGACTAGTGCATGTCAATGGTCATAGTTATCCTGCCACTAAAAACAGTCTTACCCACTCCACAAAACACCCGAAGTAAATTTATTATTACACCAGACTGTCAATGTAAATGTCTGTGTCGATAGAATAATGTCTGAAATAAAACTAACCTTGCATTTGAAGGATTTATGTCTGAGCAGCAGCAGTGAGTTACCCTGATTCATCAGCTGGTTTCACTTCGTCGAAACTGTCTGACCTCGCAGCATTAGGATTCATTCGCTCGACAATAGTACTTTTTTTATTTAACCAATCGCTGGTGTTTGGTCGTGACGTATGTAATGCGCCAAATCCTGCAGGAAGAAGGACAATAACGTCATTCCCTTGATAAAATTCACCAAACATTCTCTTTGTTCCGGCTTTAAATCCTCGATCTCGGGAACTGTTGCCAACACAGAATGTCTGTCTTCGTCTACATCCATCTCAACGCTTTGGTTACTGTTGTTCTGTTCCACAAAAGCGACAGACAGACGCCACGAGTTTGGCGTCATGACTTCACGGCTCTTCTCTAATTGGCCTTTGCACAGTCTACAACTTCCGTGGTTCTTGTAAACCATCTAGTGTATTCTGATTCTCGACTTAGTTGCTGGAGAAAAATTAAATTTAGCGGAGGCACTGGGTAGCAACGAGTTGTACTTCCTGATAGAAAGCTCGGCAGTGGTGGACTGATATCACCCCGCGCCTATCTTACCGGGAAAGCAAAATTCCGCTGCTGCTGAGAAAATAGTCCCTCAACATGCGACGATTCACGTGACGTTTTATTTCAAACATTATTCTATCAACACAGACATTCACATGGACAGTCTGGTGTAATAATAGATTTGTTTCGGGTGTTTTGTGGAGTGGGTAAGACTGTTTTTAGTGGCAGGATAACTATGACCATTGACATGCACTAGTCTAGCACCAGCGACCTCTGCAAAACAAGGACTGGATAGAATATTTTTTAAAAAGTGTCTCCACACATCTCCAACACTCTGGCTCACGAGGAAATGTGGTCCTATGTCCAAAATTCCAGACTGTCCCTTAAATGACTGTGGAACATTCCAGGTAGAGCAATGACATATCCACAGAAACGAGGCGGAGAAGGATCCCCAACAAAAAAGTTTCACAATGCACTTTTAAAACTGTAAATAAAGCTTGTATATTTAAGTGTTTTATAAAGTCGTATTGTGCAGGTTGGGTCAGAAAGTTAAAAGCCTCTGTACTTGCTTTTTACCGTCTTAAAAACTTGAAAAACGCTTTGCAGTCGTCCAAAGTTATTCCTCATTTATATTCTGCATTCAGAGCATCCTAATTACTCACCATGATGAGTTTATAAGAGCTTTTCACAACTTTCAGAGACCAGAGCAGAGTTTTGCCGTCACTGTAAAGCTAACAACAACTAGAATCCTAACAGTGCACTTCCTAGACCCTTCTATTTTTAAAGTATTGATGAACAGTATTTTACTTTATTACATGAAAAATATTGAGTACAGATTCTTTTAAAACTAAATTAATAACATATATTAGCTTTTTAGTAGAGGTGTAACGATATCCAAGTCTCATGATACGATATCCTCACGGTACGATATTTATTGCGATATCGTGGGAATGCTCACGATTAGGGATGTAACAATATCCAAATCTCTCAGTACGATATTTTCACAATATACATCTCACAGTACGATATTTATTGCGATATTTTGTGGAGGCGAACAAAACTGAATACTCTACTTTTTCCTCTTAAAAGACCTTGACAAGACTTAATCCAAAGAACTAAGACTTAAAAGTGCTTAGAACTGTTATTTCTTCTTGTAGTCTGCACTGAAATGGAGCAAAGGATCATGGTCTATGTAGTTCCCTCTGTCTTTTGTTTTTCAGCCTTTACTGCACCGTAACTCTTCATTTAAGCAAAGAGACTTGTAATTTGATATATTGTGATGGTCAACAATATTATTCTGAGAACTTTGACAATACAATATCATGATATTTTGGTTATTGTTACATCCTCACTGTTTAGTCATGTTTTTCTAGCCCGACTGGTGCCACCTAGTGCTTCTGCTCAATTTCTTTTCTCTCCAGCGACTAGGTCAGGAATCAGAATACACTAGACGGTTTGCAAGAACCCCTGAAGTTGCAGACTGTGCACCAGCCAATCAGCGAAGAGCTGTGAAGCCATGATGTCAAACTCGTCACGTCTGTCTGTGTTCCTTTTGTGGAACAGCACAACAGTAAACAAAGCATCGAGATGGATGTAGACGAAGACAGACATTCTGTGTTGGCAACGATCCCGGAGATCGAGGATTTAAAGCCTGAACAGAGAATGTTTGGTGAATTTTATCAAGGGGAATGACGTTATTGTCCTTCTTCCTATATGGGATTTGGCACATTACAGACGTCACAACCAAATAACAGCGATTAATTAAATAAAACAAGTACCCGCCTACTGTCGAGCGAATGAATCCTAATGCTGCGAGGTCAGACGGTTTCCACGAAGTGAAACCAGCCAATGAATCAAAGTTAATGTTTTTCAGCTTCTTATATGAAACATTTTGAGGATTTTTTTTGGATTCAAACAAATAGGCCTATAATATTTTGTTTTAAATTGTTAATCGCTATGACAACAGTTCTAATTTCTTCATCATTCATTATTCATTCTGTTGGCGGTAAACTCTTACCTGTTGCCATAAAGTGTGGTTACTATTCTGTGCTCCTTAACCCAATCAAACAACGCATTTATTCAAGCAAACTGAGTGTCTTGCCCAATGACACAATGGCAGTAAACGGAAACGGTCTTACTCCTAATTTATTGATTTACTTTACAAATATTTCTCAGCTAGTTTTATAGTATCAATACTTTACCAAAGAAATTACTAATGTTGATGTTTTTATAATCACAGACCCAACCTGCCCCATGACACTAATGTACTGGCCTGTATTTAATGTTAAAGGTGCATTGCGTAACTTTTCTGGTGGAAGGTCCCATTACCTGCTTGTTTCTATTGCTCTGGAATGTTCCACAGTGTGACATTAAACAGCTCTGCATTACATTTATTCAATCGCAGGTGGTTTTATAGCTCAAAAACACCTAGAAAAACAAACATTCTGACTGTGAGCAGGGTCGCCTCTCCGCAGATCTGACCTGTAACGTGGTCTGATCTGGTTTGTTCTCAGTGAAAATCGAAAGGTTTAAATGCCGTACTGTGAAACACTCCAGACAAAACAATAACATCTCAACAGAAAAAAAGCATTTGACGGAGCCTCCACTAGAAAAGTTACACAATGCAGCTTTAAATACGTGTCTGTTTTGAGTGTGTTTGTAAAATATTGATTATTTATGAGTTCAAACTAAAAGCCATATGTTTTCACTCTGTAATTATTTTAAGTTTTAACGGGGAGAACTGTTGTAATATTAACGTGATATTAACTTAAAATCTTAAACTTGCTTGATCCGTTTATTATTTACAATCATTTTCTATAGTATTGTCGCTTTAAGTCGCACTATTTTAGCTTTAAAGATGCACTGTGTAACATTTCTTGTCAAGGGTCCTCTGCCTGCTTGTCTCCGTGGAGATTTGTGATCGTTTTATTCCACAGTATTGCATTATAGACGTATTCTTTTTGCCTATAGCTCAAACAATTCCAACACTCTGCAAAGCTACATCTCCATGGAAACAAGTAGGTCCACCAGAAAAGTTACACAGTGCATCTTTAACTTTTTCATCCCAAAGAAAATATAAACATTATACTTTATATATATAGTCTGTGTATTTATTTATAAAGTGTTTATTTGTATTTTAATATAATTACACATTTTGAGCAAAGGACTTGTCTCGTGTGTCTCTGTTTTTAGTTCTTTAATATTTTGGTTAAAGCTACATTGTGCAGCTTTTCTGGTGTTATTGCTTTGACTCTGTGTATGTTTCACAATATGGTATTAAACTTTCTATCTTCATGGAGACCAAACAAGACCAAGTTACAGGTCAGATCTGCGGAGAGGCGACTATGCTCACAGTCAGAATGTTTGTTTTTCTAGGTATTTTTGAGCTTTAAAACCACCTGTAATTGAATAAATGTAAAGTAGAGCTGTTTAACGTCACACTGTGGAACATTCCAGGTAGACCAATGATGTATCCATAGAAACAAGAAAGTGACAGACCCCTTTAAATTGTTTTTGACCTGATTTAATTTAATAAATTGTAGGTTTTTAAAATGTCACAGTGGTGAATGTAAGAACTAAACCTAAAAGTAACACAGGATTTTACACTTGAAAGATTTATATTGATAATTATCTTTAAAGGTGCACTGTGTAACTTTTTGGTTGGGGGTCTGTCACCTGCTTGTTTCTTTGGATACGTCATTGCTCAGCCTGGAATGCTCCACAGTGTGACATTAAACAGCTCTACTTTACATTTATTCAATTACAAGTGGTTTTACAGCTCAAAATACGTAAAAAACAACATGCTGACTGTGAGCGGTGTCGCCTCTCCACAGATCTGAGCTGTAACTTGGTCTGGTTTGGTCTCCGTGAATATAGAAAGCTTTAATATCATACTGTGAAACATTCCAGACACCAGAAAAAGTTACACAATACACACAATGTTAAACACATTTCCTGATCTGCAATGGGCCTGTAAAGTTACCACAAACCAGATCTATTAAAATAAATTCATTTAGTACATCGTTAATTACAGATGGTGCATTTGAGGATATAAAAAGAAAACATTTCCTTTGTTCTCATAATTTAATATTCATAATTGCAAAACTGTCCTCATTGCATTAGTTCGTCTGTGACCCAAATTAGAGCCCGACAGCCAGACATGAAAGAAACTGCATTTGTATTTAACTACAGAAAATCATTTTACACAAGACTTTTATATCTATCACAGTTTGAAAACCATTGATATACAAGGAAAAATTTGTAAAATAAGAGTAAATAGAAAATATATCTATAAGTTAAAAAAACATTTTTCAGGTTTTGGGCCTCTGACCTGTGTTTCGAAACCACTGATATATAGTTTATGAGCAGGTCCAGGCCCAGTGTTTTTCAATCACATTTAAAAATAATACAATATCACACCTAGAAAAAAAAACTAAACAAAAAACAAACATGGTATAATGTGGCAAATATTCTAATATTCTAACATATGCCACTGTGTCTGGTTATTTAAATTTGGCAATTGGGACTGTATGCCTTGTTGCCTTGTATGCAGATACAAGTGGTCGAAATGAGTTTCCTTCTCCCTTAGAGATAGGGCGAGGAGCTCAGTCACACGGGAGGAGCCAGTTGAAGTAGCTCGGGCATCTGTTCCGGATGCCTCCTGGATGTCTCCCTTGGGAGGTGCTCATGTCCCACAGGCCCTGGAGAAGACCCAGGACACACTGGAGAGACTATGTCTCTCAGCTGACCTGGGAACACCTTGGGGTCCCCCCGGAGGAGCTGGAGGACGGTTCTGGGGTGAAGGAAGTCTGAGAGTCCCTGCTTAGACTGCTGCCCCCGCGACCCGGCCCCAGACAAGTGGAAGAAAATGGATGGATGGATGAATGGATGCCTTGTTTTGTTGATTAGAAGTTGGTCAGGATCCTCAGACCCTTTTACTCAGATTGCAAATTTTCCAAGGGACCTGGCAATACCTCAAGGCACAGTAGTGGTCCTTTACACACTAGTTAAAAATCAATTATGAAGGTTATGTACATTTATTTACCCATTGAAGCTCCATGGATTAATTTATACATGGGTAATAGTCAGTCTATGGCTTCACCTGCCTCCAACAAATAAAAGCCTAATTTTAAAACTTATCCCGCTGAAGAAATCTAGATCAATTTATCTGAACTAATTAAAGGTGCATTGTGTAACTATTCTGGTGGACGGTCTGTCTTCTGATTTTAATCCATGGAGATGTTATTGCTTTGCCTGAAATGTTCCACAGTAGCCTCTATCTTGCTTTTATTCAACTCCAGGTGTTTTCATCAATGCTTAAAAAAAAAAAAAACATGAGCAGGGTCACCTTCCCACAGATCTGACATGGAATTCGGCTTGGTGGCATTTGTTTTTTGTCTCCCTGGAGATAATAGATATGTTTAATGCAATGCTGTGGAGCATTCTGGACAAAGCAACAACTTCTCCATGGAGACGAGGAGGTAACGGACCCTCCAGGAAAGTTACACGGTGCACCTTTAAGCACATATTATTCTATTCATTCATTTATGTACAATTCATTCATTCATTAACTGTAATTTTAGACTGTTATTAGTGTTATTTATGACAGAAAATGCCGTTATTCATGTTATTTATTACCATAAAGAGTGTTATTCATATTATTTATGACCGTAAAGGCTGTTATTTTCATAGATCCATGGTTATTTTAGAGTCACGGTCAAGCCCCGCCCCATTCCTGAACAGAGCAATCAGTGCGCAGGCGCGAGTTTGAACTTTCGCCTGGACCAATCAGAGCCCGCGCACTCGAAGCCGCAGCCGGGGTTAGCTTCACGCAGATAGCCACGTTATTTTATCTGAAGTCATAAAAAACGAATCATAAAAACGCAATTGGAGGAAATAAAATTTGCTGTGGAGCAAGCGGAGAGTTCAGCGAGACCTCGGCGTTTATCGGACGAGGTAAGTGCTCTGAGACTTTTGTGATTTGGGAGTTTTAAGCGCGTTAGCATTAGTTAGCATCCGTTAGCTTTCCCGGCTAACAACATGGAACCGAGCGCAGTTGTTGAGTTAACTACAACGTTTTCATTCATACCAATATTATAATTAAACACGAAATGAGATGCACCATAATAAAGTTGATAAGTGTATTCTAAGCAGCAGAAAATAGCTTATATTCAAGGCAATGGCCAAGTGTTGAATGCGATCGATAACCTCTAATATTACGTGAGCTTTTGACTTCATTCATTCAAAACTTGGAATTATTAAGATTGTTTTACCATTAATGCATCACGATTTTACTTTCCTCTAAATGTAAATAGATAGAATGGTGCATTTGGGCAATATTGTAAGTAAAAATGTAAAACACCAGTTGAAATATTACATTGATAGACTGCAGTTGTTAAGGATATTAAGCTTAGCCTCTAAATCAGGAGTCTCCAGACTTTTTCCTCCTGTGAGCTACTTTTCCAAAACAATAATGCCAGAGAGCTACTAGTTTTAGTGGTCACAAGAAACTGAACATATATAAGAGCCATGGCGAGCCTTAGATGAGGTACAGTTGGATACCTATTAAACATAAACATAAAACATAATAACATTAAACACCATTATTCATTTATTAGTGTACAGAGTTTGGAACCAAAATAAGACATGTACAAAGGTAAAAGGCATTTCATTCATCAAATTTTACTTACTCAGCACAAAAATTTTCCTTGGCGAGCGACTTGGAAGGGAGTGGAGAGCGACAGGTTGGAGACCCCTGCCTAAAAAGATATGGTACTAAAAAGTTATAAAATATATATTAATAAATTGTACTGTAGTTTTACAAATTAAAGAGAAAAACAGCACTGTAAAATGTAACAGAGTTTGTTTTTTTAAGATACAAAAGTGACCAGGCTTTGACATTACTGTAGTAAACAAAACTCTATAAAGCTTTCATTTATATTTACTCTGTTGCTTTGCTGGTTTTGTATTTTTCCTAATATATGCACCATAATGAGTAAATATTTTATTGATAATGTTCAGAATGCGGAACCATTGTGTGAACCAATTGTATTCAAAACAGGACTGGGCAAGATGGCAAAAATAAAAACAATTTTGTGCTCAGGCTCATAGTAATCAATCTCTCTTTAATGTGTTTTTCCCCCAAAAATAAAATAAAATCATCTCATGAACATAATAACTGTATGTACTTGGTGCAATTTTAACACCAAATACTGTCACACTTTTGTCTGCTCCAAACCACCTTTTACTGATCGTTTGTAGAACTCTCCATTTAAAAAGTCCCAAGCTGATCATTGGCTCTTTAATATGTCTGAATATTGATTAATTGCCTCACCCTCATAAAAAAATATTAATGTAATACTTCTCTATGTGAACTGTGAGTTGTGAGATGTGAGCTCATTTTAATGGCCCAATGAAAGATAATGAAAACCCCGACATTTGCATCACTTTATAAAAAAGCAAACAAACCCCGACGCAGGATGTGAAAAATGGACATGTCCAGGTAAAAACGTACGTTTGGTCACACTAATAAACACTCCCTCTCTCTTTCTTCCTCAGATGACGGGCTCAAACGAGTATAAGTTGACCCAGGCTCCAGAGGATGGAGTGTCTGCGGTGAAGTTCAGTCCGAGCGCGGCTCAGTTCCTCCTGGTCTCATCGTGGGACTGTTCTGTTCGTCTCTACGATGTCACAGGAAACACCGTGAGGATGAAGTACCAGCACTCTGCCCCCGTCCTCGACTGTGCTTTTTATGTACGTTTTATTTATCTTTTCACTGCTGTTGGCATTTAGTATTCAGACTGTTGATACATTTCCATTAAAGCCCAACTCTGACCCTCCACCAAAAAAGCTACATGCACATTGTGAAACACTCCAGACAAAGCAATAACGTCTCCATGGAGAAATGTACCTTTAAAGACATTTTCTGATCTGCAATTACCACAAAACCAGATCTATTAAAATAAATTCATTTAGTACGTCATTAATTACAGATTGTCCATTTGAGGATATTAAAAAAAAAACATTTCCCTTGTTCTCATAATTTAATATTCATAATTACAAAACTGTCATCATTGGATTAGTTTGTCTGTGACCCGAACTAGACCCTCAACAGCCAGACATGAAAGAAACTGCATTTGCATTTAACTACAGAAAATCACTTTACAGAAAACATTTGTATCCGTGTAAGCCAGGTCTGAAATAGAACCACACCATCGTCACAATCCTACCAAAAATGAAACAATGGACTACAAATACTGAATGAAAATCATGCAGCACTTTTAAATAGGGCTGCAACGATTCATAACAATAATTCTGACATATATTGACTGTTTTGATTGTTGATGTTTGATTGTAATAGTTGCTCACTATCAGGATTATACTATAAGCATGTTTTGATTCTTGCCTCACAGTAAAAAGGTTCCAGGTTCAACTCCGGGTCACCTGGAGTTTGCATGTTCTCCTCATGTCTCCTCCAGCTAAGATAGACCTGAAGACTAACTCAAAATCCTGATAGATTTAACCCTGAGACGCTAAAGAATGGGTCAAATGCAGAGAATGAATTTTCCTTTAAGAGGAATTAATAAAGTCTACATTAACTTTACATGTATTTAAAACCTCATTTGCAGTGGAAGTTATCACTGACTAATTTTGAAATGACCTTTACTCGTGTCATAATTGTTCTAATAAAGTCTGTTGTGTTTTCAGGATCCCACACACTCCTGGAGCGGAGGTTTAGACGCACAGTTAAAGATGCACGACCTGAACACAGACCAAGGTAAACGGCGTTCATTTCAACCTGTCGCTGTGAAAGGACAAAGAAATCAAATCAAAAGAGTACAGAAAATCGAGTACAATAATGGCATCTAAAAAAGAGATATAATCCAGTGCAATGTGTATGTAGTATAAAGTTGTTGTGCTTATAAAAGTGAAGATTTCTATTTGCAATTCATTATTATTTGGGATTGAAGTGAAATGTACTGATCTGAAATGTTTTAAAGAAACTATCAGTGTTAATTTATTGTCTGGAAAAGAGCATAAGATTTCACTTCTTTCTGCTCCTTTTTATTAATTTCTTGTGTGTGTGTTTGACATTATATTTATGATTTATGAATGAATTTGATTAAAAAAAAAAAACCTTTAAAAGACCCACTCTTTAAATACACTCTCTCCCTGTTTTCAGACACGATTGTCGGGAGCCACGACGCCGCGATCCGCTGTGTGGAGTACTGTCCGGAGGTGAACGTCATGGTAACCGGGAGCTGGGACAGATCCGTGCGACTGTGGGACCCTCGGACTCCCTGTAACGCCGGGACGTTCACGCAACCGGAGAAGGTGAAAATCTACCAACCACTGCATGGTTTACGATAACGTTTGTCATGTCATTTGTTTTCTTTCAATGTTTTCAGACAAATTGTTCCTTCCTGATTTTTGAAGGTTGTTTATGATGAGCTTTCCCTCTTCAAACGACACAAAACAAAAAAAAAATACAAAAAGTAAAATTTCTCCCTCCAAAATCTGATGGCTGCTCCAAACCTCTCCAAAAAGGACGATTAGAACTTTTTAACATGGCTTATAAATGTATATATTCAGCATTTTTGTCATTGATTTATTCAAAAGTTCTGCTCCTGTGGTTCCTGGTGTCCTCCGCAGGTGTACACTCTGTCCCTTGTAGTTCTCATGCTGTGATTCCTGGTGTCCTCCGCAGGTGTACACTCTGTCCGTTGCCGGGGACAGGCTGATTGTCGGAACGGCTGGGAGGAGGGTCCTGGTCTGGGACCTGAGGAACATGGGATACGTCCAGCAGAGAAGAGAGTCCAGCCTCAAGTACCAGACCCGCTGCATCAGGGCCTTCCCCAACAAACAGGTCAGAGTTTAGTAGTGGTCCAGCCTCAGTCCAGCCTCAGTCCAGCCTCAGTCCAGCCTCAGTCCAGCCTCAGTCCAGCCTCAAGTACCAGACCTGCTGCATCAAGGCTTTCCCCAACAGATCAGGCCAGAATTTAGTCCAGCCTCAGTCCAGCCTCAGTCCAGCCTCAGTCCAGCTCAGTCCAGTCCAGCCTCAGTCCAGCCTCAGTCCAGCCATGATTCAGGTGTGGTCCAGACCCACTGCATCAGACCCACTGCATCAGACCCACTGCATCAGACCCACTGCATCAGACCCACTGCATCAGACCCACTGCATCACACCCACTGCATCACACCCACTGCATCACACCCACTGCATCACACCCACTGCATCACACCCACTGCATCAGGGCTTTCTCCAACAGAGAGGTCTTGGTTTAGTCCTGGATTGGTCCTGGTGTTAGTCCTTGTTTAAGCATTTAAATGTCACCAACTGAACTAGTCCTGGTTTGGGCCTGATTTTATTCCTTATTTTATTTCTGGTTTGGGCCTGGTTTGGTCTTGGTTTGGGCCTGGTTTAGTCCTATCTGTAAATTATCTGGTGTTTTGCACAGATATTGGGGATACTTGTTTTCCATATTTTTAATTTATAGCATTTACACAATAATTTATAAATAAAATAACAAACGTAGGTCAGATATCCTTAAGTAAAGAATAATATTTTAAGTATAATCTATAATTTGACGTTTTAGTTGTGTAGAAGTCCTTCTGTTATTGTAACATTCCTCGTTGATTCCAGGGCTACGTGCTGAGCTCCATCGAGGGCCGGGTGGCGGTCGAGTACCTGGACCCGAGTCTGGAGGTGCAGAAGAAGAAATACGCCTTTAAATGTCACCGGCTGAAAGAGGAGGGCATCGAAAACGTGTATCCAGTGAACGCCATCTCCTTCCACAACACACACAACACCTTCGCCACAGGTAGGTGCAAGGCCTCACTCCTGGTGTAGTTCTGGTGTTAGTAACAGAACTTGTCCTGGTTTACTTCTCCTTTGAGTGTTGAAATGTCATAAACTGGCTGGGTCCCGGCGCTCTGGGTCCCGGCGCTCTGGGTCCCGGCGCTCTGGGTCCCGGCGCTCTGGGTCCCGGCGCTCTGGGTCCCGGCGCTCTGGGTCCCGGCGCTCTGAGTCCTGGCGCAGGACCTCACTTGTGTTCTTTCGTTTGTAGGTGGTTCTGACGGCTTCGTGAACATCTGGGACCCGTTCAATAAGAAGCGCCTGTGCCAGTTCCACCGTTACCCCACGAGCATCGCGTCTCTGGCCTTTAACACGGACGGCACGCTCCTCGCCATCGCCGCCTCCTACATGTACGAGAAGGGAGACATGAGCCACCCCGAGGACGCCATCTTCATCAGACAAGTGACCGACGCAGAGACCAAGCCCAAGTGAGTCCGCAAACAGGTCTGAAAACCATAATACTGTTTTTAACTGTGTGGTGGGGATTTATACATGTTTGACCTGGTTTAAGATTAAAAAGCCCAAATTACGCTTTTTTGGTATTTGCTATAATGTTGTTTCTTCATCACAAACAGATCTGGAGTTGTGTTTTGTTTCATTCACACATGATGGTTTAATAGTTCTTTCACATCCACAGCAGTTTGTGCACCAAATGTTCTATTTGAACTAAAAGCTCTTAGTTAAGTTCTTTGTTGGTGTGAAATATTCTGTTGCACTTTGATCCGCACTAAATCAAGCCGACCTAGACCTCGAAACAGAGGTGGTCTTGGTCCACTTGACTTCACACCAAATGCCAAACTCTGGAGCGGTCCCTCTGGTGAGAACGCCAACTCGGGTCCAAACCAACTATTCAAAATGCATCATGAGAGGGCAGACTCAGACTGTTGAATTGAGCGCGCCAATTCCAGTTAAGGGGTGTGACAGGGGCTGGGGTTGGGTCTGGACGCCTGCCCCGCGGCTGACGGTTAGTAGGTTTGTGAGTCCGAGCTCCCCAGGCCCGGGGAGCCAGAGGCCGGCTTCTGCTTGGGGGGGCTAGGGTCCGGCTCGTGCTGTTTGTACCCTGTGGAGGGGCTCCGTGGGAAGCCCAATGGGCGAGATGTGCGATGACCTCGTTTCTGAGAGGTCTTTCCTGCAAGAGAGCCTCAGTGTCCCTGAGCCACGTGCAGTCAAACCCGTTGTGGTTGGTTTGCAGGTGTGAAAGGACCACACTGGAGTCTAATATGCTACAGAAGAATAATTTTATTTTCTGGTGTGGACCAAATAATCAAACTAGATGTGTGAAAGTGTCCTAACACACCAACCGTGTATATTTAGGCTGAGTTCTTCCCTCAGACAGAAAATGGTCCACAGTGTTTTTAATCTCCCCACAACTTCACTAGAATCATTTGGATTATTTCAGTTCTGAAACTCCCAATCTCGACTGAACTAAAGGTAAAAGAAGCTGCTCCCTTGAAAACTACCACATCATGACATCACAAGGTGGAGCAGAGCATTTTAGAGACAGATTAATAATAAAGAGTTACTCAAACATGTGTGAATGAAACAAAACAAAACTCCAGGTCTGTTTTTGAGGAGGTCACAGCATTAGAACATGGCTCAAATTTGTTTAGATTTGTTAATTGCTATGGCAACGGTCCTAACTTTTCAGCTCCTGCCCTCCTTCTGAAGTAACGACCTCAAATTCTAGATGTGACCCTGTAGTTTAGATCTGTACAAACACGTTCTGAAATGTGATTCTTGTATTAGTTTATCAGTTCAGATTTCAGTCTTTTCTCAAACATGAATGGATGAGTTTAAAATGTGGACTTTGAACTGAATCTTGATCTTAAACATTAATTCCAGTCGCTCTCCGTACTTGCCACAAAATGTGAACTAAATCTGTCCTCGAGCCTCTTGAGCTTTGTTGCTGTTTACGGCGTTTACAATAAAAATCTGAGAGGCAAAGGCCAGAGCAGAAATATGCCGATCATATCTGTGTTCAATATCCGACACTTCACAGATAAACACCGAGACTACGAAGAGACGACGAGGGATTATGAAAAACACCAACCTCTCAAGAGGAAGGGGGAGGGGGCAAAGACAGGGAAAGAGAGGAGGGGAGAGAGAGAGGAGGAGGGGGAGGAGAGAGAGAGAGAGGAGGTGGTTGGGAGGAGAGAGAGAGAGAGGTGGAGGAGGAGAGAGAGAGAGAGGAGGTGGTTCGGGAGGAGAGAGAGAGAGAGGAGGTGGTTCGGGGAGGAGAGAGAGAGAGAGAGGAGGAGGTGGTTCGAGGAGGAGAGAGAGAGAGAGAGAGAGAGGAGGTGGGGGAGGAGAGAGAGAGGAGAGAGGTGGGGGAGGAGAGAGAGAGAGAGAGAGAAGGAGTGGAGGGAGGAGAGAGAGAGAGGAGGAGGGACAGAGAGAGAGAGAGAGAGAGAGGAGGAGGTGGGGGAGGAGAGAGAGAGAGGAGGAGGGACAGAGAGAGGAGGAGAGGAGGAGGAGGAGAGAGAGAGAGAGAGAGAGAGAGAGAGGAGAGAGAGAGAGGAGAGGGAGAGAGAGAGACAGAGAGAGGAGCAGGAGAGAGAGAGAGAGAGAGGAGAGAGGAGAGAGAGAGAGAGAGAGAGAGAGAGAGGAGAGGAGAGAGAGAGAGAGAGAGAGAGAGGAGGAGAGGAGAGGAGGAGAGAGAGAGAGAGGAGGAGGTGGGGGAGGAGAGAGAGAGAGAGAGAGGAGGAGGTGGGGGAGGAGAGAGAGAGAGAGGAGGAGGTGGGGGAGGAGGGAGAAAAGAGAGGAGGAGAGAGAAGAGAGGGATATTTATTTTGGCCTTTATCATCATTTTTATTGCATTTCCGACATAAAAAATTGAGATGGACAGATATGTTTTTTTTATTTTTTTATTTTTTTCATGGCCGATTCGGTGATTTAGAATCCAGGAAAAAAACTACTGATATACCGATATTTTTGGACCGATGTATTCGCTGTTTGGCTGAACTGTATAATTTAAAGAGGGGACATTAGGCAAAATCTTTTTTTTTCGTAATAAATCATATCTGTTTCTCCCATGTTCTAATGTTGTTTCCACATCAAAAAGAGGAGGAGGAGGAAGTTTTAGTCATTCATGCATGTTTGAGTAATCTAGTGATCTCTCCTGGGCCCTATTCCAACCGTCCTTACATTAAGTGTAAGATTCTGTACAAGGCTCCACCCACAAAACCTGTGAAGGGGGAGTGACTTAGCCTGGAGAGCAAAGGGAGACAAGACGAAAGTGTCAAAAATGAAAATGAAACTTATTAAACATGTTAATATATTTCTTTTTTTTTTCTCTCTGTGTTTCAGATCGACCTAAACTCAGTCCTGTCGTGTTGTGTCTGCTGGTATCCAGTGCTCCACAGCGCCCCCTGTCTCCTCTGTACTTCTGAACATGTTTTTTCTGTTTGGTTCATATGTAATTGTTTGTACTGTTTTTAACTAAACTACTTTAAATACACTTCATTTTGGAAAATATGTCTTGTTTTTGTTTTATTATTACTTATGATGAGCACGTGGCCACTGTTGTTCATATTTAATATCAGAGACTTGCACTTGTCTTTTCTTTCCTCGTTCACCCTCAGCTGGTTCTGGCCAGACTGATGTGTGGCTCTCTGGACTGAGCTCTTCATATCAGTCTGGAATGCCCAGCGCTGAAAGAGACTGGACCCACCTGCTTTCGTTTTATACATAAAGTTCTAACGCTCCAGACTTTAAAACTCTTCATGAATGCAATGATCTTCTCGCATCGATCTTATTGTATCACCTCATTGTCCCAGTCCTCAACCACATTGAAGCTGCTCTGTTCATTTTACAAACTGTTCCTTGTCCTTGACAAGAAGCCCAGACACTGGCAGCACTGTGACATTTTAAAGAAACATAACCCATGTAACTTTATTATAGTTGGTAAAATGTTCAATTTTTATTTTTTTTTTAAAGTGTCTTAACTGATACAACACTGAATTCAGAAAAAAATTATAAAATAAACACACAGAGCTAATACAAGAGGTGCTACTAGAAGTAATTGTGTTGTCCAGATGTACCGGACAAACTCTTGAGTCTCTCTACCAAAGGAGCCAGACTGTCACCTAGTGCCTCTGCACAATTTCATTTCTCTCCAGCGACTAGATCAGGAATCAGAATACACTAGACGGTTTGCAAGAACCCCGGAAGTTGTCGACTGCACACTGACCAATCAGCTGTGAGCTGTGAAGCCATGACGTCAAACTAGTCGTGTCTGTGTCCCTTTTGTGGAACAGCACAACAGTAAACAAAGCGTCGAGATGGATGTAGACGAAGACAGACAATAGCCCCGTTAGTGGCGCATTACAAACGCCAAAGTACCTGCCTACCGTCGAGCAAATGAATCCTAACAACAAATTTAAAACTAAATTTAAATTATTGTATGTTTCCAACCAAAACTGCACTCACTGAAAATGGAATAATGTCATATATTTCTTATCTGTATCTAACTAATGTGTTTTGTGTATTATCTTACATTTTTTTCTACAGACAAGTGCTGAAAACTTACACTTGTGCTAAAACACTCAAAACAATACATCTGGCCCGTCGAATGCGATTGTGATGTCCTTAATCAACAAATAAAAATGATTGGAATGCTCAAACAAGTTTAATCGAAAAAACTAAATCTATTTCTGGATAAATATTATAAATATTTACTGAAATGTGTAGTTAAACCTGTTATTAAATAATTTTGAGCTGTAAAAAAATAGTTGTCCCAGTCTGAATACTATGACTCAGACTCGTATATCTTAACATCACAAACTGAATCTATGAAATCTGGGTTCTCGGGGGGTTGTTTTTGTGAGGTGCTGAAAAGGAAAGTGACGTTAATGTGTTTGCACTTGCCCCCAGTCTGTGACCTCTGACCTTTGACCCTCACCACGGGGCTAAAACTAAAACTCAAGACGCTTTTATTTTGGAGGAAACACTGGGAGAAACTGGACCGGCCCAAAACAGCTCAAACAGACTCTTGAGCTCTGGAAAAGAACACAAAGAGGTAAGTTACACCATGATTAATTCTGTTTACAGTAATTTGACATAAATAAAAGACATTTATTCATTTTGGGACATTTTAAGTCTCTGGTTGTGTTTGTTTTCGGATATTTAACAGTTAAAACTAATGAAATTCTGCTATGAAGAGCTGGGGCCAATCACCTCAACAGTTTCTAAACAGGAAGTAAATGGAGAAGGATTTATGTTACACTTTTACATCCCCAAAAAATAATATAACATGTCTTTTTAAAAGTTCTATATTACACAAAACGGACACTTGTGAGCTTTAAGACGATGTTGTCTCCTCCTCAAAAACAGATCTGGAGTTGTGTTTTGTTCACCTTGTGATGTCATGAATCGGTAGTTTTCAGGTTAACAGCTCCTTGTCACCTTTAGTTCAGTAGAGATTGGCAAATTCCAGGGAGCGTGCCTATGTTCTCTCAGCCCTTTTTGTCATTTCTAAGGACTTTTTTTTTTTTTTTCCCCAAAATTAGGCCCTATATTCCCACATTTCCTTTATCATCAATTTACAGGAGAATTTGTCCACATTTCTTCCAATTTGGTCGTCAGTTGCACCCAATCTATTCTCCAGCAGCAGTTGACTACAGATGTAATGTAGAGGTCGTGAAGCAGAGGACCCTTGGTTGAAATGACTCTAAATCATTCCTTCTAAATGCGGTTTAAAAATAAAAATGACTTGACTTAGAGTTTAACTGTGAGAAAAATCTTAGATATAAGGGAACATAGGGCTGAAGGAGCAATTGACCCCCCAATTCCCAATTTCAGGGCTGAAATTATCATGCAAAAGAAGAAACAGATCCATGCTGCAGTTCTTCGAAGCTTCCATATGTGGTGTCACTGAAATAAAAAATTTGGGAGCTTCGAAAAACTGCAGTGCGAATCTTTTTCTTCTTTTGCACGATTTTTGTCTTTGGACCCAGCACGCAGTCCCAATTTTTATTGGATGTGCATGTCTCATACGCTGATTCATCAGCCGGTTTCACTTCGTAGAAACAGTCTGACCTCGCAGCATTAGGATTTTTTCACTCGACACTAGGCGAGTACTTTTTTTATTTAACCAATCACTGCTATTTGATCGTGATGTATGTAATGCACCAAATCCCGTAGGAAGAAGGACAATAACGCCTTTCCCCTTGATAAAATTCACCAAACATTCTCTTTGTTCCAGCTTTAAATCCTCGATCTCGGGAATCGTTGCCAACACAGAATGTCTGTCTTCTTCTACATCCATCTCAAGGCTTCGTTTACTGTTGTGCTGTTCCACAAAAGGGACACAGACAGACGCCACGAGTTTGACGTCAAGGCTTCACAGCTCTTCACTGATTGGCCGGTGAGCGGTCTACAACTTCTGGAGTTCTTGCAAATCGTCCAGTGTATTCTGATTCCTGATCTAGTCGCTGGAGAGAAATGAAATTGAGCGGAGGCACTAGGTGGCGCCGGCCTGGCTACATGTCTCTACCAGGACTGAAATGATCCAAATGATTCTAGTGAAAGTATATAGAGTTTAAAAGCACTGTGGATCACTTCTGTATTACCACAAACATACCTGGAAATTACGATTATTACTGTGAATTAGGCTAAACGAGCTCCTTTGAAACTGATATAAAAGAGATGGTTAAAGTGGAGTGCTTCCTGTATTACTGCATGACATCACAAGGTGGAACTCAGCCTTAAATCTACAGGGTTTGTGTGTTTAACATGGGTGAATGAAACAAAACACAACTCCAGGTCTGTTTATGATGAGGAAACAATGTTATAACAGATCAGAAAATGGCGTAATACGAGCCCGTTAAACTATAAATAAACTGGAAGTCCTGCTCTATCTTCGACTTTCTCCATTTTATCTCCGTCTGTGTTAAACTTGTTAGAGCGCTGACAGATCTGACGCAAACCGCCGTCTCAAATCTGTATCAAAAACACAAAAAACTCTGCCCTTTTCTCTCATTAAACCAATAAAAGTCCCATTTATCGCTGCCTCCGGACACAGACGGAACACTTCTCATCTGTCAATCACTTCTTGTCCGAGTTTTCCGAGCTGATGGCTTTGGGCTCCGCTGCGTCCTGGAAAAGCCGTGTCTAAGTCATTTCGCGATCTGTTTAAAGGAGAATCGCCCTGACATCTGAGTGGATTTCGGGCCTGGTGACTCAAAAGGCTTCTGGTAATGCTGAATAAGAGGAAACTGCGGAGAAGTTATGAGTATTTTTGTGAATTAGGCTAAATGAGCTCCTTTGAAAGTGGAATAAAAGAGAAGCTGTGCATCAGATGCCCTCCCAGATGTTGTGATGTGGTGAGACTTTTTTGTCAGTGATAGAAATTATATGTATTTGTAAACTTTTTATTTGTAAAGGGACAGCACATATTTAAAATGAAAATGAAAAATGTAAATATGTAACGATTAAAGCAGCGTGGCTCATTTCCATCTTCACTTCCTCGGCAGGTTGATGTAACTCCAACACACTCACTATAGGCGAGTTTCAGCTGACGTCATTGTTATTAAAAGACCGCGTTGCATGCTGGGAAATATTTTGGTCGGAGGCAAGAAACACGGTAGCGTCAAACACAGTGCGTAACCTCGCGTATTTATCCCCGATAATGGTAAAGTCCTGCTGCATTATCGGATGCACAAATAGAAGCACGGAAGAAGGAAAATGTCTTTTTCGTATTCTGAGTGAAAAGAACCACTAACGGTGAATTAAACGGCTTTCAAACATTCGCAGAGCAAACGTAGAAGATCCTAACAAACCGTGGACTCCAACAAGTTCAACAACACATGGAGACTCTTGGAGGTTTTCATCTTTTCTGCTGTGAATGGCCCAGGAGTTTCAACCAAGTCATTGTGGATATCGCCCAAGTGAATATTTGTCCAGGTAGTTGGCGGTTCTGACCAGAAATTTGGATTGATCAACACTTTGTCGGGGTTGAAAAGGGTGATTTGTCGTCCGTCGATGCTTATGACCAATTTCTGGTCAAATGGTCTTGGGTCCTCTGCTGTTAGAGTGGATAAATAACCGGGATCAATACCCTTTACGTGCTTTTCTCGCTCCGTCCGTCATGTTGAATTAGTGTTTCTTGCCGCCGACCAAAATAATTCCCAGCATGCAACGTGCGCTTTTGTCAACAATGAAATTCACCTATACACACAATTCATTTCAAACTGTCCATTTGAAGTTCGATTAAACCACCATTTTTATCAGTGACTTTTTGTCACTGTCAGAAATTATCAAGGAAAACATTTGTGGTTTTGACTTTTGGAGATTTATTAAGAAAAATACCAGAGAATGAGACAGAAATCTGCACTTTCCACCGATTTCAACTGTCTATGCCTGTGGTGTCAAACTCAAATTCATAGAGGCCAAAATAAAAAAGTGGGACTAAGTCGTGGGCCAAACTAAATATTTATTGAAAAATGTCAACATCTGCATGTTTTCTCTTTCGAGAT